TGAAAATAAACAATGGTTAATGAAACATTCATTTTTGTAGAAAGTGCATGTATTTCAACATGTAAGTTTAATATTGTAAACGGAACTATTCTTTTATAAAGCAAGACTGATCATATGTACAGTACATGCACACATACCTGATAGTGATTGAGTCTCCAGTAGTGCTTCCTGAAGTGATTGGTTGTTAATTCTAGCCACTTGTAGATCATGACGTAAAGACTTGTTGATAACTTGAAGCTCCTTCTCTTTATCTGTCATGAATTCATTCAATTCCTTTCTTCTTTCTTTCAGTATTTGTTCATACAATAAAGGAATATTAACTGAATCTAATACTGGACCCACTGACCATTGACCATCATTAAAAACTGAGGGAGAGAGGGAGGGAGAAGGAAAAGGAAGGAATAAAATAAGTTAGTGATTGAGTGAGGGAGAGAAAAGGACAGAAACATATAGTACATGTAATTCATAAAATTTGTATGTGATGAAAACAATCAGTAAACCACAAAGGAGGCTTACTCTTAAGAAATCCATATGCAGGCTTAATTGACCACATCCCCTAATTACCACACCCACATCATCACAAAAGTTGAGCACAGCAAAAGGCAACACATTGTTTGATACACTTTAAAATCTGTAGCAGTTTGTGTGCAACCATAAAGCAGGTACAAAACGATACTGATGGTATAGCTTTTGGTTGCTGCCAAAATCATAAATCTACCCATGCACTACAAAAGAAGAAATTAAATTTGTCTATAAAATACACATAGTTCATATAGTGCCATAATTATCATAGAGCATGATCAGGTTGAAACAAAATGGTGGATTTTATATTGGCCATATCTTCATGGAACCATCAATTATCCCCTCACCAATAAAGTAATATGTTTATTTTGCAAGATTATACATAAATCATACCTAGTTCAACTACCATTGTGATATTAGGATCAGTCACAGGTGTATCAAACCATTCCATTACTCCTCCTCCTACATGTTTCTGTTCCCTCTTTACAGCACCTCCCACTATTGTCAGGAACACATGATTAGGATCAAAAACAAAAGATGATACAGTATGACAGTATCTACAAGTAACAGAATCAGGTAGAGGAATCTGTAGAAAATAGAGAATGTAAAGATATAACAACATGTACAGTGTAGACTGAAAGAGATCATAACACTAGTGGATGATAATGGGGTGTACTATATATGCCATATATATTTCGCGGGTATAAAATTTCACAATTTGGCTGCATTTTTGCATTCACAAATAAAAATTTTGCAATTTTAATGTAATTACCACACCTACTATACAATCAACACGTTATTTTGTGGATTTTAATTTCACAAATTTTAAAAAAATGTGAAAATCACAAAATTTAATCCCCGCAAAATATATGGTGTATATGGTATGACTGAAATTGGCATTGGGCATTTGCAAAACGGTTGATTTAAATCATGCATTGCTCAATAATGTATTCTAAAAACAATCCACAAATACAAACACTAATGAATTATTTTTGATGAAAAACAATAAAAATTAATTATGCAATTATCCAATGGCTGACAAACATAATCATCAAAAGATGATGTTGTGCTGAACTCAGTCAACTGGATGAGAGGCTTCATAAAACTGTTCTTATAGTTTTCAGCTTCAAAAACATTCTTTGAGGTATACAAGACACAAAATCTACTCAGAAAATGGCGACTAATTATTGTACATGTGTGGATACTAGGATATAAAATCTCTATTTCATTAAATCTGTTTTAACCACTTGAACATTATTACTCTACTGTACACTATGTATGTAACATAATGTCATGCAGTGTAACGTATTAATACTTTCATCCAATTGTACTGGTTTGTGTCTATTAACAAACAATCATTCACTGGTTGATGTCTATTATCCAGTCCACCAATGACTACTAGTGTAGGTGAGGTAGAGACACCATTGATAATAGTGCTGGCATGACCCTCTCTCTCCTTAGGCCACAGTCCATCATTAGGTATTACTCCTTGTTTAAGACTCTCCCAGTTCTAAAAACATACATGAATATTATTTACATGTACATGCATATATTTTGTTTGCTTAGGCTCACCACTTAATGTTCTAAATCTAGTTATTTCAATATGTGTCAATATACATGTATATATATGTATGTACATGTAGTTGCTAAAATTCAGATTTTTGTCATTAAATAATTTTGTCAAAATCCTTTTTTATCGTTTAAAATTCCAAATTAATATTAAAATATGTGTCATTCTGCTATGATCCACATACTATAAAATGCAGAACAGCACATGAAGTAAAGTTTTGTAAATTAGGCTGCAAATTTGACAAAACTTTTGATTGAAAACGTATTTGGAGTCGCCCAGTATACATGTTAACTTACTATTGTATTATGTGATAATTGAAACAAGTAGATACTGTTAGTAGGTATAGTGATACCACTATCAGTCACTGCTCCTCCATACATAATTCCTTTATTATGATTGATCTTTTCAATTATAAAGCCACTAGTTGGAGGGCAACACTGTCCACTGACAGATGGAATAGTCCATTGTCCTAAAGAGAATTATCAGTAACTATTGATATGCCAAATTTTTACTATAAAATATGAGACAACTGTAAGTACATGTACATTGGTTAAGCAATTGACTGACAGTGGCAGTACCTTCTGGTTGCATTACTATTTTAAAAGTTAGTAAATTAGTAACATGAACCTGCATTATTAATGTTATGTCTAATTAGAAATAAATCTAATGCATTACTTGTACTTGTACATGAGTCAAGAAATCATTCAAATCAATCGTGAAGCTTGTCATCATCTTCATTGCTTTACAGCCAGAGAATAGACTGAGGCCCCTTGAAAGATCGGCCTCATTACCTCTACCCACAAAACCACTCATTTATTTCTTAATGGGAAAAAATCAGATAAAATAAACAAAAAAGCCTGTAGTGAATTAGAACCCGCGACCTTCTAGCATTCCAAACTATACTCCAACAGTTAGGCTATCTGGCACAATCTAAATCCAAAGGTACATATACTGGATAAAATATGCGTATATATCTATAGTTAGAAAATATTTGTCATGGGCATTTATTTAAGCAGGACGTTTATTCCAGCAAATCCAGTATATACATTCATTTAACTCCACAAATTTGACATGATACAATATGAATGATTGAATGAGTCACTCACCACTGGACAGGTTGTAGATATTCTGTTCATTAGTACTAACAAGATCATCAGCACCAGTCATTTTATTGCACTCAAATTGATGATACTGTGTAATAGTTGATATAGGAGCCACTCCACCAATAACCAGTAATTGTTGAGGTTCACCTTCACTTCCCATTACTATCATGCCACCAAGGCCTCTCTTAGTCACAGAATTGTTATTAGTTGATTGTAATTCTTTCCATTGAAGAGTTAAAGTGTCTAAACAGTTCAAACTGTTATGGTAGCAGGTGTCATGGCCGCACCAACCACCAAAATAATAAATATTATTATTAATGGTGGTACAAGAGACTCCTATGATTCCCAAAGGAGGAGTACCTCTCGTAGGTTGAGAGGACCAAACACCAGATAATAAGTTAAATGCATCAATAGCAGAAGTACACTGTCTCTTTGTAGGAGAATCGTGCGACCTAACTAATCCTTCCTGGTCCCCTCCCCAGCAGTACAGGGCCTCTCCTACTACTGCAGTTGTGTGCTGAGCCCTCCATCTCATTTGATGCTGACCTGTAGAATGATAAACCGTCAATTTTATGCTGTGGTAGTAAAATAGGGGGTCATTGCTCATGTACCAGGTATCCAAATGACGTAATGCTAACCATCATCATAATGGGTGGGTCTACCGGTCTAGCCAGTAGGACAATTATCATTATGAGAGAGCAGGACAATAGGACAGCAATAATATAGTGGCGTGGGACAGCAGGACAGTGAGACAGCAGCACAGTAGCTATGACAGCAGGACATCAGGACAGTATAGGACATCAGGACAGTAAGACAGTGGGACAGCAGCACAGTGGCTATGAC